AAATGGAAATAATCGTAGGACCCACCTCACAGGGTTGTTATGAGAAATCAGATAACTCAGTGAAACGCTGGACCAGAGCTTGGCATACAGTAAGTGTTCAGCTGGCCTGCCAACTGGGGAAGCAGGAGACCAGAGGAGAGGTGCTGATGTTGGATGTATGTGGGGAGCCTTCCAAACCCTGCCAGGTAGAGGGAGGTATGGAGGTCACGGAAGTGCAGAGCCTGAACCACTGCTGTGGGAGGTGGCGCTGCCTGGGCCCAGGTCTGAGGCTGCGAGCCCTTCTTGCTCCATGCTCACCTCCTCCGGCAGGGCACTTAAGGAGGCAGTGACATCCCAGAGCTGTCAGGAATTTACCCAGGAACGCCGCCTTCAGAGGGGCCCAGAGCCTCCCAGGCTCAGCTCTGGCAGCAGGCCCGATGTCTGAGGAGGGCACTGGTGCGGAAGCATTTTAATGTTTTTAAAATACATAATCTAAGAATAGATGCCAATTCACATGACCTTTGTCCGTTCTTGCCTAGAGCCACTGAAGTATAAGTTAATAAATACTGGAGGAAATGGGAAAGCCAGGCAGTTTGGGCTAGGGCTCTTTTGGGAAGAGCTTTTTCCTGAGCAGGAGCTTTAATTTATACCCAGGGGAGGTGTATGTCCCGTTTGCTAAGACACTCCTGCCTTCCCCCCGCTAACAGCACCCCATTTCCCTTTCAAAATCTTAGTCTAGATGTTGAGTCAGGTACCATCCATTGCCCTATAAGGTCAGTGATGGTGTGACTGACATTCCAGAAGCCTGGCACTATTTCTGCAACAGCTTGTTTCAAGGACTATCCCAGAGCTTGGGACACCCCATCATGTTTTAAGCAAAATGCTCTACAACAGTTCTCACACTGTGGCCGCAGACTAGCAGCATGGGCATCACCTGAAACCTGATAGAAATGCACATTTCCAGGCCCCACCTTAGCCCTACAGAGCTCCCTAGGGGATTCTGACATGCCTTCTGTAATTTCAGCAAAGATGTGCAAAGGGCGGGGAGGAACAAGGAGGGAGGGAAGACAGCTGCTAGTCAGAGGCAGGGAGTTTTCCTTATGCCGGTTTCCTCACCTGGAAATTAAACATGACAGCATACCCTCATCTGCATCTCAGGATTGATGTAAAAATCAGTAAGATGCTACAGATGAGAATTCTTCAAAAGTCTAAGTGTGCCTCACCAATGACATTAATGGTGCCTGTCTACTACTCTCCCTTCTTTCCCCATTAATCATCTAAGAATGTAAAGAATGGTGGTCTTAAAGTCAGAGGTTTTCACCTTGGAACCCCTGGACAGCTTCAGTGGGTTTGCGACCTTCTATGATTGAGTGAAAATTGGTGGAAAAAATATCAATAACTTAAGATATGCAGAAGACACTCTTACTGAAAGTAAACAATGATTTGAAACGATTTCTGATGAAAGTGAAATAAGAACTGCATTTGAACATGAAGACGACAAAAATTATGACCACAGAAGAAATACACACTTTAATATAGACATTGAGATGGTTAAAGATTTTACTTACCTCGGTTCAGTCATCGATTCAAATGGAGACTGTAGTCAAGAAACCAAAAGAAGGCAGAGCATCAGAAAGGCAGCAATGGAAGAATTAGAAAAGACCATCAAGAGCACAGATGTGTCATTAGAGACCAAGGCTATAATCACCTACACCCTTGTATGTACTCCCAACTACTATTTACAGATGTGCGAGTTGGAGAGTGAAGAAGGATGACAGGAAAAAACTTCGATTTTTTTTTTTTTTTTGAAATATGGTATTGGAGGAGAGTTCTGTGAATACCCTGGGCCCCCCAGAAAGATGAACAAGTGGGTCTTAGAGCAAATTAAGCCTGAAACATTGCTGGAAAGCAAAAATGACAAAACTTAGTTGTCCTATTTTGGGCACATCACGAGGAGGCAGGATTCTTTGGGAAAGACAATTTGGGGAAAAACAGAAGGCAGCAGGAAAAGAGTAAGATGGATTAACTCCATAAACAAAGCCATAGACCTGAGTCTAGAGGAGCTGGGCAGGGCTGTTGAGGACGGGATGTGGTAGACACCACTCATCCAGAGTTGCCAGTGGTCGGAGTCCACTCAGTGGACCGTAACACAAGCTCGAGTGCAAAACTGTGTGAGTGGAAATGTTCCCTTTTCTGGAGAGCTCGTTCAGATCCTCCAAAGCCAAGACCTGCTGACTGAAGTGGGCCTCTGTACCCCCACCCCCACAACCATGGCCTGTGACCCTCTTAAAGACCACAAGGACTTCCTGGAAGCCCTGGGATGAGAGAGGGCAATGGCACCAGGGGTTAGAGACCCAAATATAGAAAACAACACTGCCTGCCTTGCCTAAATGTGGTCCATCCCCTAGGGGTTTTCCACACTTGCTAATGATTAATGGACTCACTGTGCACATAGGCATGGGGGTGACCTCACCCTCCTGTGAAGTTCCCACTCTACAGCAGGAGACAAGGCAGGGGCAGCCTGCAGCATTTACTCTACCAGCTGCTTCACTTACGTCATCTCTATTAACCTTCACTGCACCTCCATGAAGTAGTTCTTATTATAATTTATAAATGATAAGACTGAGGCAGAAAGTGGGGAGCTGGGACTTGAAACCAGGTATTTGTGATCCGTATCACTCTGCGGTCACATGTCAAACAAAAGTAGGAGGCGAGTGGCCACAAGAGAAAGGAGGCTCATAGTCATGGGGTAGTGATACTTGAGATGCATGATAAAACATGATGGAAAGCTCAAAATATTTAAGTAAGGCTTCAAAGAAACAGATTGGTGCCCTTGGCATAGTCACGTGTTTCTCCTAAGACCATGCTCCTACAGGCTGTCAGGCAGCCCCTTCCAGAGGTCCGATCGAAGATTCACCTGCTCTCAGCAGTTCATGAGCTGATCTACATTCTGAAAGCTCATGTTCTCCCTACTTGGATGAGGAAACAGGCCAGAAAAGGGAGGTCCCTTGCTGATGCAGCTCAACCGGCGCCTTCGGGCCAACCTTTCCACCCCGCACTGCATGCAGCAGCTCCCAGGCACCCCAGTCAGGTGGGAAAGTTCCCCTAGGCTTAGACCCATTTCTGTCATGAGGAGAAAGAGCCCCCTAATGTATGCAGTCCCCTCAGATTCTTCATAGATGTGGCCACACGCTGATGTCAGGGAGATGGGATAAGCCATCTACAGGGCCCAGTGATGAAAAATACTGTTCCAAAGCAGAAAACTGAATTAAATTTCTTTTATTCTAGGGCAAACTCAAAATGGTTTTTTTTGTCTTCTTTTTTAGCAAATCCTAGCACATTATTAACAAAAAAATCTGTACATTTGCCATGATACACTTGAAAGTGAAACAAATAAGATATAAATAGTTATGGATGTAACATGAAAAAGCCAAAAAAACCAAAACAAAAAACAAAAACCCAACCTGGGGGTGTGGGGACCATGCGTGTGAACACAGTGCCAACAAAACTATTTTGGTGGATGATAGTCTTTTAGAGCATATCTTTTTTTTTCATTTCCAAACATCATTGTTAGCAAAGTCTTGTGGGATTCTACGAAGTTCTTATTTGCTGTTCTTTAATATGTAATATTATGCTTGATAAATAAAGGCAGCAGGGGAAGAAAAAGATGAGACAAAAATCCGTTGCATTCCCCGCACAAGGTATTGATAAGCTAGTGATGGGCCACTAGAGGGGCAGTCCCATGGCTGTGCGGGCACTGGGTCCAGAGGGCACACAGTGTACCTGAAGAACGCAGCGTGCCTCAGCCTCAGCCTGCAGGACATGCCATGGCCTCAAGAGGGATGGCAGCAGCTGGAAGGAAAGCAGGAGCCAGATGATTCAGCCCCAGCAGTGCGGTCAGGTGGGTTTTGGGGGGCCCTGGACAGTCAGGCAAACAGCGGAGGCAAACTCAGTTTTGGGTGCTTTGCCCCTGTTTTCCGTTGTTTCGTCTGGACAGGAGCCCTGCAGGGAAGCGGCCAGGTGGCTGCAGCTGTCAGGGTCCTGGGAGGGTGTGGCGGGGTGCAGCCATCCTCCCCGTGAGGTGGCGGTGGCAGGCGAGTCTCCTCGGCGGTGGGCAGCGGTCTGATTGAGGCCAGGAGACCTGTGATTGTATCTCTAAGTCAGGAGATTGAGGGTTGGACAAATGACATTCAAGGCAAGCCCTTTGTGAGTACTATGAAGACATTCAGCTATGTTCGAGATCCTTCCGAACTACAGGCGGTGGAGTGGGGGAGGCCAGGGCGACCTAGGTCACCGGGCTGAAGGAGAAAGGTCTTTCCAGACGCATTAGGCATGAAAGAACTCATAAATAACCTAGCCGGAGTACACGTTTCTACAACAGGAGTAATCAAAAAACGCTCTGCTCTGACTCATTTGTAGAGCGTAAAAAGAATCCAATTAGTGAAATATTAACAAACAGTATTTACCAATGAAAGTAAGGCCTGGTCCTGCTATGTTTTGAGCCAAAAATAAGCCAATAATATTCAAACACTTAAAATGCACCCCTGAAGTTCCCTCAACAGCAGCAGTGGGGTACTCCCTACATGTGTGATACCCCCTCCACACATACATATACATACACACACACACACACACACACACACACCCACCCACCCACGCACGCAGTGAAGGCAGCCTGGCTTCACTGTTCCTGGACCTTTCATTTTCAGTGCCTATTTTCAAACGAAGTATCTAAAATAAAATCTGAATGAAAAAATGGGTCATGTTGCTACAGTATCTTTCACAACGTCCAGCATCCAAGCAGGAGAGTCAGAGAAGGGGAGTCTGTGGAGGTCAGTGGTGAGAACTGTGCCACCTCTGTTTCTCAGTGCTGCCAGCAGAAGGGACTCTACACTGAAATAGCAAACACCTCATTAAAAATTAACACCTGAATAGGCATTTTCCTTATGGAAAAATCAGTTCAATTTAAAGGCTCTAAAATCGAATAGTTAAGAGATGACAGAAATCTTCATGATAGCATTAAGAATTTCCATTCAGCTTTAAGAATTTTACTCAAAACTTATTTAACCAGATTCCAAATCTATAGTTACTATGATTGGCGTAATCGAACCCTCAGGAAACTTTTTAAAGGGGGCAGTTTCTCTGGCAATTTCTTATTGAAGAAAAGGAAACACTCTAAAATTGTGTTTCAAATCCTGTTTTTCTGCAATTTGCCACTCACCATAATTACTTTTTCCTTAAACAATGACTATTTCCACAGATGATCAGGAAGTACTTGTCTATCCAAGTAAAAAAATTTCTGATACCTGGTCTCTTTAGACTTTTCTTTGATCTTAATCCCAAATTAAACAGAGAAGTGAAATCTGAGATGGCAGAGTTGCCATTTATCACATTAAGTTCCTTTTTAGAACTGATGGTACTAAGTCAGAATCACCAAGAACTGGGGTTATGGGAGAAGCCCTCTTAAAATAGTGTTTCCCAAAGATCTTAGTAGTAAAACTAACTACTTCTCATATCTTCTATGCTTCATGAAATGCCATTTTAGGCATCATAAACTGATGCTATAAATTTACCTTAATTTTCATGTTTCGATATAAACTTTATGAATTCTTTCAAGTGGGCTGGGGACAGCATCATGGCATTGTTCAGAGGGGCTGGGAGCCTGTCCCGGAAGGAAACTGTAGGGATGCCCTTCTAAACTAAAGTGAGGACAGTCAACCTCCAGTCTAGATAGTATAAGCAAAATTCCACGTCTGTTAAAAGGCCACCTTCAGGCTTTTCTCCATTTCTTTCCACGAGCTGATTCACATTCTTAGTAGATCTCAAAATACAATTTAGAGACACATGACCCTTTCGTGGTGTCAGCTGTGAAACGGGAAAAGAGGGTCATTTGCCCCGCAACCGGCCACATCCAGAAGAAAGTAAGCTAGGATGAAAAAAAACCCACACAAATTAACACGCCCTCCTCAACTCTGTTAACTGAAGAGAGAATGCTATTTCCTACCAAGTGTTGGCTAAAGAGCTCTGATTTTTCAAAACAGCATCCCGCACACATGGTTTTATATTCTTGGCGGGCTGCAGAAGACATATTTAAGTATGGCTCTTTTCTTCTCTTATTCCTTTTGTTTTGTATGAAGACTACAAAACAGGCCTTGCTTCCTTTACATTCAATACCAGTAAGATTCTACACAAAAGCTGGAAGGGACCAAAATACTGATTGTAATAAATATTTGCAGGCCTCCTTGTCCTGACTGGGCAGCCGATGAAGGGGGAGGTGGGAAAGGTCTCTGAGAGAGAGGCACCACCGATTGCTTCTAGGGAGACATAGAGACTGGTGTTGCCATTAGCTGTGCGTGGAGACGTCCGAGGAGGAGCTGCTGTTGCTATTCGTGGTTTGGGCCCTCTTTATATACAAGTTTAGTAGCTTCATCTGCAAAGACAAGATACAACTAGATTAGCAGAAGAAAAAGTAAATGGAAAGTAGAAAACGGGGAAAAAAAACTCCAGGTGATATTAAAAAAACCATGCCCCTTAATTGAGAAATTCATTACACAAACATTTACTGAGTACCTACTACTCATTCAAAACATCCGCAGCAATGAGGAGGAGGCCAGAGACTAAAGGAGAGGGAAATGCAATAGGTTATTATAAGAAAGAAAGAAAAATAATTAGGTGGGCTACAAGGGCTCCCTGGAAAAAGGTACATTAGAGGTAGATCCACACATTTCAGGGGTGATTAGAGCCAATGGCTCCATGCATCAGAGCTAGCGAGGAAAGCAAGGTGAGAGCCCATGCTCCATAGGGATATAGTAGCTAAGCCAAGGTTAGAGATCAAGTCTTCTTTCTAACCTTCACATCTTTCCTGAAGCTGTTCTTTTCACCTAGAACACCTTCTCTCTTCACCCCATTTCTACCTACTGAAACTGACCAAAGCACTGTGGCATCTGAGACCTGTCTTAAGAACCACCTCCATGAGGCTGGATGTGGATGTGATCATTCCTTCATGTTCATTCCTGTGGGACTCCTATCTTCTACTGCAAATTGGCATTTCCCGCCTCATGCTACAGGTCACAGTGGACTTCTTGCTCTTTCTGGCAAGATTAGACCTCTCTGATGCCAGATACTGCGTCACTAAATAACATTCCCTCTGATGGGCACATCCCTTTACAATGAAATGGTTTTCATATCTGAGACCTCATCTGCTATTAACTTAAGTCCCTTTGAATCCTCAAGATAAGTAAAGCAGCATGTAACATAGTAGGTTCTTAAATACCTGAATGCCACTAAGTTAATATTATGTTGATAATTTGCCTGATCATATTAAGAACAAAAAGAAACAGATATTTACAGAAGCGGAATGCCCCTTAAAAAAAAAAAAAAAACCTATGTAATACACAACTTGTACGATTAAGGGAATTATGAAATACCTACTATCCACAGCCTTTTACCTGCCTTTCTCTAAACAGGTTGTGAGGCCGAGACAATCATCGGGCAGCCCAGGGGAGGAGGGCATGGTCCCAAGGGGCTCATGAAGAGATGCTCAGGGTGGTGCGTATGGTGCACAAGAAAGCGGGGCCCTCTGCAACCAGTGGGAACAAGAACAGCAGCCGTACAGAGCTCCTAACAGTGGCAAAGTCGCCTTGACCCTCCATCTCCCAAGGTGCTCAACGAGCTGATATAAATTCAAATTACAGTGTTTTAACTTTAGGATGTCAAATGTAATCCCCACAACAACCACAAAGAAAACAGCTATAGAATATACACAAAAGGAAACGAGAAGGGAATTTAAATATTCTAGAACAAAAAGCAAACAAACGCAAAAGAAGACAGTAATGCAGAAAATGAGGGATGATAAAAGTATAAGGTATATAAAAAACAAACACCAAAATAACAAGTGTCTTTCTCCTTATCAGTAGTTACTTTAAATGTGAATGAGTTAAACTCTCCCATCAAAGGACAGAGATTGGCAGAATGGATAAAAAAATCATGATTCAAGTATATGCTGTCTACAAGAGACTCACTTTAGATCTAAAGACACAAATAGATTGAAAGTGAAAGAATGGAAAAAGTTATTCCATGTAAACAGTAACCAACTGTACAGGAGTAGTCAAACTAATATCAGATGAAACATACTTTAAATCTAAAAAAAGGTTACAAGAGACAAAGAACATTATATATTAATAAAAGGTCAATACATAAAAAAACAAATGTAAATATTTATGCATCTAATAACATGCCATCAAAATATGTGAAGCATAAACAGACAGAATTAAAGACAGAAACAGTTTTACAATAATTGTTGGAGACTTCAATATCCCACTCTTAATAATGGAAGAACCAGAAAGTAAAGAAAGAAATAGAGAACTTGAACAACATAATAAACCAACTAGACCAGAACATTCTACTATCAATAACAGAATACACATTCTTTTCAAGTGCACATTCTTCAAGACACACTATGTTAGTGTAGACACAAATTAAATCTCAACAGATTTTAAAAGATAAATATCATACAAAGTAACTTCTGTGACCACGACTGAATGAAATTAGAGATCAATAACAATGAATGAAATTAGAGATCAAAAGAAAGAGAACTGAAAAATTCAGAAATCTGTGGAAACTGAACACACTTTTAAACAACCAGTGAAAAAAATCACAAAGGAAATAAGAAAATATCTTGAAACAAATGAAAATGAAAACACAATATACCGAAACTTATGGGATGCAGCAAAAGCAGTGGAAAGAAGGATATTTACAGCTGTAAATGCTTATTTTAAAAAAAGATCCCATCTCAACAACTTTACACCTTAACTAGAAAAAGAATAAACTCAAAACTAGGAGAAGGAAGGAAATAATAAAGATTAGAGCAGAGAAAAATGAAATAGAAAAAGAGAAAACCAAAAGTTGGTTCTTCCGGAGGCAAAAAAAAAAAAAAAAATCACAACTGACAAACCTTTAGCTAAGCTGACTAAGAAAAAAAAAATAGAAGACTCAAGTTACTAAAATCTGAAATGGATGTGGACATTACTACTGATGCTACAGAAATCAAAAAGATTGTAAGAGAATACTATAAATAATTGTACACCAACAAATTAGTTAACCTAGATGAAATGGACAATTTCCCAGAAACACAAAACCTACTAAGACTGAATCACGAAGAGAAAATCTGAACAAACCTATAACTTAGTAAGGAGATTAAACTGCAATAAAAAAAATCTCTTGACAAACAAAGCTCTGGACCAGATGGCTTCAGGGGTGAAGTCTACCAAACATTTAGAGAATATAATCCTCCTTAAATATTTCCAGAAAACTAGAGAGAAAAGAACACCTTCAAACTCATGCTATGAGGTCAGCATTGTCTTGAGACCAAAGCCGGATAAAGAGATTGCAAAACTACAGATCCCTTATGAACACTGATGCAAAAATCTTTAAGAAAAGACTAACAAATTGTATTCAACAGCATATTAAAAAGTTTATATACCATGACCAAGTGGGATTTATTCTTGAAATGCAAGGATGGTTCAACAAACGAAAATAGATTAATATAATATACCACATTAATAGAACGAAGGGAAAAAAACACACAGAATTATCTCAATTGATGCAGAAAAAATATTTGACAAAATTCAATATAGTTTTGACAGAAATACTCAATATACTACAAATAGAAGGAAACTACTTCAACATGTCCAAAGCTATATATGAAAAGCCCACAGCAAACATTATACTCAATGGTAAAAGACTGAAAGCTTTTTCCTCTAAGCTTTTACCTGCTTTTACCCATTCTACTCGATATAATAGTGTAAGTTCTAGCCAGAGCAATTAGGAAGGAAAAGATATAAAAGGAATCCACATTGGTAAGAAAGGAGTAAAATTATCTTTGTTTGCAGATATGATCTTATATGTAGAAAATTCTAAGGATTCCCAAAAACTGTTAAGACTAACAAACGAATTCAGCAAAGGAGTAGGATACAAAATCAATGAGCAAAAACCAGTTGCATTTCTATACACTGACAACGAACAATCCGAAAAACAATTCCATTTACAAAAGCATCAAAAAAATAAAATACTTAAGAATTAACTAAACTGAGGAAAGTGAAAGACTTGTACAGAAAAAACTAAAATGTTGCTGAAAGTCTAAAGACTCAAATAAATGAAACGACAACCCATGTTCATGGACTGGAAGACAATACTGTTAAGATGTCAATATTTCTCTCAAAGCTATCTACAGAGTTAATAAAACCCCTATAAAAAGCCCGAAGAGATTTTTGCAGAAATGAAAAATCAATCCTAAATGCATATGGAATCTCAACAGACCCCAAAGAGTCAAATGAGCTAGACAACAAACAAAGTTTAAGAACCACACTTCTGATTTCGAAACTTATACTACAAAACAGTGTACCACTGGCATGAAGACAGACATTAAGATCAATGGAACAGAATAGAAAGCCTGGAAATAAACCTTCAAATCTGTGGTTTTCACAAATGGTTTTGTGAAACTTTCACAGATAAATGGTTTTGACAAGGGCGCCAAGACCATTCAATGGAAAATGGTGTTGGGAAAACTGAATATCCACAAGCAAAAGAATGAAGTTAGACATTTACCTAACACCTACACAAAAATTAACTCAAAATAGATCACAGACCTGCATATAAGAACTAACATTACAAACCTCTAAGAAGGAAACATAGGGCAAAGGCTTCACAACGCTAGATTTGGCAATGATTTCTTGGATATGACACCAAAAGCACAGCAATGAAAACAATAATAAACAAATTAGACTTAACAAAAATTTAAAAATTCTGTACATCAAAAGACAAAGAATTTATATCCAGAATATAGAGAACTTCTAAAATTCAACAATAACAAAGAAATAACTCAATTCGAAAATGGGCAAAGGACTTGAATAAACATTTCTCCAAAGAAGGTATATGAATGGCCAACAAGCACATGAAGAGATTCTCAATATCACCAACCATTAGGGAAATGCAAATCGAAACGAGAGACTACCTCACACCAGCTGTTCGAATAGCTACTATCAAAAAGAGAAAATAACAAGTGTTGAGCCCTGTGCACTGTTGGTGGGAATGTAAAATGGTACAGCCTTTGTGGAGAATAGTTTGGCAGTTACTATATAATTCAGCAATTCCACTCTTGGATATATACCCAAAAGAAGTGAAATATAAGGTCTCAGAGATATCTGCACAACCCATGTTTATGAGCAGTATTGTTCACAATGGCCAAAAGGTATTAACAACTCAAGTGTCCATTAATAAGAAATGAATAAGCAAAATGTTGTATGTATCAACAATGAAATACTATTCAGCCTTAAAAAAGGAAGGAAACTGATACATGTTACAATATGGATGAACCTTGAGGACATTATGCTAAGTGAAATAAGGCAGTCACAAAATACCGTGTGATTCCACTTTTATGAGGCATCCAAGCAGACAAAGTCATAGACACTGAAAGAATGGTGGTTGCTAGAGGTGCGGGGGGAGGGGAATGGGAGGTTATTATTTAACGGGCATAGGGTTTCAGTTCTGCAGATAAAAAGAGTTCTGGAGATGGATGGTGGTGATGGTGGCACAACCACGTGAATGTACTTAGTGCCAGTGAACAGTACACTTAATATGGTTAAGATGGTAACTTTTATGTCATGTATATTTTACCACAGTAAAAAATTTGAGAAAAAGAAAAGAAAGCTTGCTTAGGGTCATACAGCTAGTAAGTAGAAGACAGAGACTAGAAGGCAGGTTGTCTGACTCCAAAGCTAGTGTTGCTGCCACGGCAATTCTCAAAATGCACACACAGGCTCCTTCCCTGTCCTTGTATCAGGCATTTCTCTACAGAAGCTGATATCATTTATTAACGTAATTTAAGTCCTGGAAGAAGCTTCTGATAGGTGTGGTTAAACAAAGAAACAAGAAACTATGGCTTGGTTCTGTTTCTAGTATAGGACATTGACAGACTTAGCACCATGTTCTGTCAGCTACCCATTTTTTGAGGGGAGGGCATTATTTGTTTTAGGAGATATATATTTGACTCTACCAAGTTCCTATTAACACACCAGAGTTATCACATCTAAGAATTGTAATGGCTAGATGAATCGGGCTGTCAAATCAGAAAGGTGTTACAGCCAGCCTCCCTAAGCCCTCTGAGCTGACTGAAGTTATACCTGGCGGAGGGGAAGTACTGGCTCCTGATCAGGACGTGGACTCTAGTCTCAAGGTCACCAGTGAGAGTGAGAGCAGCAGGTTAAATGCAGAACAGAGATGAGAAACACTTGTAAATGGGATGACAGAATAGCTTCCTTTCTCAGAAAAGTAAAAAGTGCCAGATAAAACCGAGGTCTGACATATTAATTGCGGATGAATTTTCTGTTTTATAAGTCTAACTCCCTGTGTGAATATTGTCTTCTAGGTCCTCACTGCGGCCAGGAACCACCTACAAATCCCTGATGGAGGCTAGCAAATGGAGAAGGGCTCCTGGCCTAGTGCATTCTTACGTTCAGTAGTTTTCAGGTCGTGGTTAGGGGTGGTATCAATGAGAAGCCTTTGGAGGAGCAAAGAAGGAAAGGAGAAACAGGAAAATGGACTCAGATATAAGAGGCCCCAAATCATTTATCCACACTTGCCTCACTCATATCTTCCAATCTAGATGCTTATTTCTGTCTGCAAGAAGAGTAAAGTGTCTTCCTCCAGACTAGTGCTTCTCAAGTAGGGGTGATTTTGTCCCCTAGGGGTCATCTGGCCATGTGTGGAGCCTTTAGTGACTGTCACAACTGAGGGGTGGGGTGTGCCACTGGAATCTACAGGTCGGTAGTCAGGGATGCTGCGAAACTTCCTACAATGCACAGGACAGCCTCCCCACAACAAAGTGGCCCTAAGTGTCGACAGTGCTGAGGGTCCTACAAGCCCTGCTCTGGACAAAGTAGGGCAGAGTCAGCTTTGCCCAGAACTCTGAGAAGCAAGCTTCATGCTGTGATGCTCACCAACTATGTCAAAGGAACAGCTCTATTTGAAAAGAAATGGGCATCACTTGCTGATTCTTTATTTCATAAAGAGCAGGGTCAGGCACTATTTGGTGCTTTTTTATCACACCACTGCCAGGGCACTTTTTAACTCCATGTTAATGCACTTCCTCCATAGGCATCCCTGGAGGAGGCTCCCCTCCACACAGTGAAGGTCTCTAAAGCCCAGACAGCATCCCCCCTCCACTCCAAGGGAGCTGAAGCCCCGCCTTCCACTCTTGCTTCTCCTGCCAGAGCCTGGGAGTTAAGACTGCTCTCGCCTGGCAGGTTCATCACATCTGAGTTTATTTTTAAACCAGTGAGCATTCTAGCCACTTTCATCTTCAAGAAGCCAATAGTCTTCTTTTCTATTTTCTAGAATTCACTTAAAGGAACATGAGAGACAGCATAGTGAGTAAAAGCCTGGCTTCTGGAGTAATATCATTCTGTGCCCTGGGCAGGTTAAATGTGGGCTGTCTTCATCCCACAGGGATGTTGTCATGAATTAATGAGTCGACACAGGCAAAGTGCAGAGGACAGTGTCTAGGACTTGGCGGGCACACGGTGAGAGCTATCGTTACTGCTGACGCCCAAGAGAAACCCAGTTCCAACTCAGCAATCTGTTAAGCTAGCAGGTAAATATCCTCAGTGTTTTTGTGACAGGAGACAAGCTGGTTTGTAAACAAAGTCATCTTCCTTTTGGAAATAAACTAGAAGCTCGAAGAGATCATTTCAAACGCAGGAGTTACAACAGACTATGTTGTAACAAAGTGACTTCACTACATAGTTGGTCACTTTTATCTTTAGCAAAATGCTTTGGGAGAAATGAGGCCTGGCTATGACACATATGATAAGAAAAACCTGTCTGGAGTCCAGAGCTGCAGACAAGCAGATTTATGACAAGCTGGCAGAGCCCAGGTGTGCGTATCAGCCCATGTAACACTATACCTACCTTGCTCCCTGTGAGCTGTGCGAGGTGAGGTTTCAGCTCTTCTCCGATTACGGAATAAATGGCCACTAAGCAAAACACGCTGGCCTTCCGCACACTACTTTCGGTGTTGTCATAACCCTACAGTCAGAAGGGGAATGCAAAAATGAAACGAGATCAAAGATTTGCTTCATAGTCACTACTACATCAACATTTCCACAAATGCCCTTACAGTTCAACCTTGGACTTGTCAAAAACAACCGGGATATACCCTCGCTCTGCAATTGAACCCAGAGAGGCCAAAACTTAATATTGCTGAGAGTGAGCTGGCTCCTGGGGTGTGGAAGCAGGAAGCTGGTGAGTTACAGAACTGATCTGCCTCGGCATTGCTTTATAACGAAATGGCACAGTAGTGTCACCCAAGAACGTCATGAGGCAGAATGAAAAAAGGAAATTAAGAGGAAAAAATAACTTGCTTCTTTCATATTTCTCCAATGGTGAAAGAAACTTCATGTGTGAAAATCTCTTTTAAAAAATGAGAATTACACATCACTCAATCTTGTGGGCAAATCTCTCCACCATCCAAAAACTGTTGGGGAACATCCAGTCCCACAGCCTGACATTCGTTAGTGTCCTATACAGCCGGACCTCAATCTACCAGTCAGCCTCATCCCCACCCCACACCCACATGAGACTACTTGCTGTTCTCCAAATGGCCCCCAGGATTTTTCAACATTGTGTCTTTCCCTCTGCCTGGAATAATCCAGTCCTCAGCATATGTATTATTCAAACCCCCAAGCCACATGCTCAGCAAATAGCGGCATTTATTAAATGAGAAGTTGATCTCTCTACCCTTCCTCATTGAAATCTCTTCTCTCTCCAGGACCCAATTCTAAAACTCATCTATGAGCCCTTTTCTCTGCGCTACCCCCACCCCAAAATCACCTCTCCACCTCTGATCTCACAATTCTCAGGTTTCACCTCCCTACAATAGCTGAGCACATGGCACCAGCATCTCTAGGTGTCTGCATGGCTGTGTTGTGTCCCATGGCAGGTTGAAAATCCTTGAGGTAGTACTGTAATGGTAGAAATCATCTTTATCTTCCAGTATCTATCTAACTCATTGCCTCATGCTTAGAAAGGTTTCAATAAATATTTGCTGGACATCTGAGAGCACGGACCATTACTTGATTTTGCATGCCATGGCCCACCTACCAGGGGTAGGGCCCAGAGACGTGCAACAGAGGTTTGCTGAGGGAATAAACAATAAAAAAAAGTGATCAAAACATGTTTATAGTGGACAGACAGTTCATTCTGTGAGCCACGGTTCTGGGCTGCCAGGAAAATCTTCCTGCTACATTTAAGAGGGTGACTAGAAAACAAGAGACACAGCTTTCTAGTTTCTAAAATACAGGTCACCACCTGGCTTTACCTATTCGCCTCTCCACCCCCTCAAGTGAACAAGGAGAGCCAAGTTCCCACATCACTTTGACTTGCACAGCCACTGTTCTGGCCTTACAGCCTCGTGCAGACAGGCGCTGAGCCACAGAGCCCACCTGCAGCAAGCCTGGGATGATGTCAGCAAGGAGCTGCAGCAAGGACTCCCTGGCGATCCTCTCGACGACTTTGGTCTGCATCTTGATGGCCGCGAGGTTGATGGGGTAGTCGGCTGTCTGGATGATGGGGCAGAGTACTTTGATGCACTGCTCCGGGTGGATGGAACTGGCCAGCGTAGATGCAGCCTCCTCGGCAGCTCTTACCACCTGAAACACAGGTTCCCCCAAATGAGTGAGCACCATACATCATTCGAGGAGAAAGACCCGTTAAAAGTAACCACTGCCGCCTAATTTCAGAGGCCAAATGACAAGAGTTCACTTAATGCCACATGGCAGCCATCACTTCTTCTGGCCAGTTTTGTTAACAAAAGTAAAAGCTGAATAGTTTGGGGGGTAACTTTACAGTACAGAGAAATGGAGGCTATGGGAAGGCAGGTATAGGAGATTCTGACAAAAATCTTAGAAAAGTGGTTCTGAGTGTAGTGCACCCCCCTTCTCTCACCCCCATCCCCCAGCCACCCACAAACACACAGCAGCAGCAGCAACATCCTGGGTAACTGTTAGAAATGCCAACTTCTCAGGTTGCACCTAGACCTGCAGAATCAGAGACTGTGAGGGTGGAGTCCAGCAAGCTGTTTTAATAAGCACTTGTGAGATTCTATGTACATGAAAATTTGACAGTCTCTGCCCTAGAAGATTAGGACCTAAAAATACAAATGCCTTCCAATGGCCTATGAGCCTCCTACAACTGGAATACCTGGAGAGGAGCCTGGAAGACAAATCAGAATGACCTCAATACTTGAGTTTCCAGGGAGGTGCCTAATTGCAATGCATTTCCCTGAGGAGCCTCTTGGGGAAAGTTGCTTTTCCAGGAAGCTGTGCTCATGGTATCACCTCACAGCCAAAGGAGTAGCCTCTGTCCTCTGATGGGATCACGATGCACTAGGACACACAGTACATGTTCCAGAGGTTACCAGAAGGGCCGCAGAGACCCTCTGTAATAAAGGTGGAAGCCTAATGCAAAATCCAATGAGGAAGAAAGAGCATAGGGCTTGGGTTTAGAGAGCTGGAAGCAAATCCCAGTCATGTCATTCACATGTGCTAAACCCCCATTTTCTCATGAGTAGTACTGAGATACAGCAGATATTCAGTAAATGATCGTTACTACTATTAATGGCATAGGAGTGCATATGTAAATGATATATGCAGACACCAAGCAATGAACAGACATGCAGTTTCTTATAAAATAAAACCTAACACTTATTTCCTTTATTTCCTACTGCCAGCCCTGGACTGTTCATTCCAACAGATTCTTCTCTTCTTTGTGTTGTTATTGAAAAAACTCAGCTGTGTCTTTAACTCAGCAACATGACCAAAGCTACCAGCTCAAGCCTTCAATCATCTCAAGGCTCTTGTTTAAAGCAAAGACTGACCAAAACAAAATAGAGACCACTAGGAAAGTGTCTTCTAGTCCTGGGCATAAACGGGCTAAGAAGTCAGTGCATACAAGCCAAGGAGGGTAGGAGATACAGAAAGGCAACCTGAGCCACGTAGTGGACACACAGGCTGCTGTAGGTCACAGAGCCCAGGGTCCTCTTTCTAGCAGGGGCAGGGTCAGATCTCAGGACTCGAGTCATGGCTTTGGGACAAGACATAGCTCAGCTTTGTGTTCAGCCTGGGCCACACGACCAGGGAACAGGGCTCACTGTCTGAAGCGTGCGTCACCGGAGACAAGTCTGCTCTACTCTCAGGAAGATAAAAGAAAATCCTTCCCTCTTCAGGAAGCTGAATTCATTTCACTTAAAAATCCACATGGCTCACAGGGCCGGCCATGCTGCTTATAGTGGGTTTTTTACTAAGGTCCACTTTGGCTACTCATGCCCCAATACTTGGCACTTAACACTATTAAAAACAAAACAAAACAAAACAAAACAAAACAAAACAAAAACCCAACCTGGAAGGAAATGCACAAAATGTTAACATTCATTATCTCAGAGTGGTAAGATTATGGGTAATTTTATTTTCTTCCTATTTTTTAAATTAAAAGATTGCAATGAACATTATATTAGCATTTGTAGCAAAGAAAATGCATTCATTAAAATCTACTAAAAATTCCTTTTTGAGATCAAGGATAGTTAGCAGTCCAGTCCTTGGTTCAAAGTGTAAGGTGCTAGAGTGCTGCACTCCAAGAGCAGGCAGCTCCTCTCCCTGCACTGTATCAATGTCAGCAGAGTACTTAGGTACTTCTTGAGTCAAGCCTGCTGCCTAAATAATAATATACATTATTATCATCATCATCATCATAATCATTACTATTTCTGCACATCTCCCATTGTTTCCATAAACTCTCCTCTCCTAACTAGAAAACTGACTGTACCTCAAACAAATGTGGCTGACACACGTGCCCACCCTGGCCAGCAGAATGAGCTCTTTTACTTCAACTCCTACTAGAGTTCTTCCTCTATTTCTGACATCGAATGCTTTGTATTCTAGCTGACATATCTATGTGTGTTTCTACTTCCCAAATAGACTGCAGAGGCATAATAGGCAGGAGCTGGACCATTTCTTTTGTACAGCAAAGTACACTGCGAGGCTGGGCACTTAGCAGTTGTTCAACACTTACTGATGGACTGAATTTCATTCTCCTGCCTGCTTGAAGATTTGTTTCTGTTTAGAGAAGCTCTATCTTCCTGAATTCCAAAAGTCACATTTCTTTCTTGTAGAAGACCTTTTGGACTTTCCCTGGGAGAACCCTGCTATCCCAAAGCACTGACTGAAGGCTGGGTGTCTCATTCAATAAGACCACCTCCCATCATCACCTGTGGGGATATACACTGAGATTGTGTAGTAATAGTAATCCCTTCAAGAGCCAAAATGGAGACCTGGATCAGCATGGTTCAAGGGTACTGTGTCTGTGCTTCTGGTGCATGTGAAGGCTTTCCTGAAAAGCACTGCAGAGAGAGAATTTTATTTTAAGAGTCACGTCCTTCTCTCAAAAAGCGCATATAATTCTTAGGAATTTCAAAGCCTCAACTTTCTTACCACCTTTCTCCCTGCTTTCCATTTGTACTTTGTGTGTGCATTCACTCATTCCTGAGTGTCGGGGACTGAGCTCAGAGCTCAGACCACAGAGGTGAGGATGATGGGCCCTAGGCCCTGACCTCATGGCACTTGGCGGGGCAGGGGTGGTCCATGCAGAGGGGCAGTGTGAGGATGCAACGGCCCAGGAAATGGCAGAAGAGGCTGCGGAAGCTGGTGAGGGCCAGATGATGGGAATCTGCTAACTGAGGAGCTTCCTGCAGTTGGCCAAGATTAGACAGAAGGAGGGTGGGAAAGGACAGTAAGTAAAATGAATGTTTGCAGAAGGCTCCTCTGGTGTTCTGCAGCAGTTCCTCTGGCGCAAAGGCCCTTGGCCCTATTGAGCCAGAAACCCCTGCTTCCGCCTCCTCTACAGTGAGCAAATGGTTTGGGTTTAGCCTTCCCAGGCACTTCAGTTTAAGTGAGCAGATTTCCCCCTCAGCAAACATTAACTTAGCCACATTTATGGCCCGTCACTCTACTGTACATACACATGGAAATAAGACTATTTAAAATAGGCCCACTGTGATTTTTTTTCTTGCCAACTCAGTCCTCTGGAAATGTACAGCTTTCTCTACACAGGTCCCCTGAAAGTAGAGTGCTATTTGGCTCTGGTGCATGTGTATGACCTTGACCCTTTCACCCCAAGGAAGGTAGCCTCCAGAGCTGGAGGGCCACATTCATAACCTCTGAGAGTAGCGTAGCAGACAAACCTCAGTTCAACCCTTTGGCGAGACATCTAATCGGTCTGAGCCACAATTTTTAAAAACTCTTAAAATGAGGATTTAAAAACACCTACTTTTACAATTATTTGGACTAAGAGGGATAACACTCAAATATCTGTAGCTACAAAACACGTGACAGCTATTAGCTAGGCCTTGTTGGAGGAACAATACCAGAAGCGGGGCTTGGCTGCAGAGGTGCTACCAAGAGGCACAGGAGCCAACCTGGGAGCTCCGGGGCTGACAGAGAGCAGACCTCTGTCCAGAGGACCCCTCCGACCCAGTCTACTGACCACGTCAAGTGGGTCGGCCTGCTCTAATAACGTCTCTAAAATGCCAACCTGATGACCATGTGCACATTCTTCAGTCCAGCATGGTAGGCCAACAAAGCCTGGATCCTGCCTGCCTGTCCAGTTGCATTTTTAGCCCTCTCTCTTCCCACGATGCCCTGGTAACCCTGAGCCGAGGGCGCACCCTGCGCATGCCCTGCCAGTCACATCTCAGTGCCCTTGTCTAATCCCTGCACTCTTCCTGAATGTCTCTCACTCGTGATCTTCACTTGGCTGGGCCAAGTCATCCTTTAGGACCCACTCACTGCAGCAGAACCTCCAGGAAGCCTTGTGTGCACACCTTGATCATTGCACTTAAAACATTTTGGTGAAATTTTCTCTCCCACTAGACTAAAAGTTCCTTGAAGGAAAGCTCCAATCTCAGTCAACTTTCTATCCTCTATACCTAGCACAACTGATGTCCAATATACATCAGGTGCTCGATAAATGTCT